TTTAAAATGAAATAGACAAAGAAGTGAGAATATGGCCCATACACAGGGAAGAAAACAGCTAATGGAAACTTTTTTTTTTTTTAAGATTCCACATTTAAGTGAGTTCATGCAGTATTTGTCTTTCTGTGTTTGGCTTATCTCACTTAGCATAATGTCCTCCAGGTTCATCAGTCATGTTGCAAATGACAGAATTTCCTTTTTTCTCATGGCTGAATAATATGGCATTTTCTTTATCCATTCATCTGTTGATAGACACGTTTTCATGTCTTGGCTATTGTAAATAATGCTGCATTAAACGTGGGGATGCAGACATCTTTTCAAAATACTGATTTCATTTCCTTTGGATAAATACCCAGAAGTGGGATTGCTGCATCATATGGTAGTTCTATTTTTAATTTTTTGAGGAGCCTCCATAGTGACTGTACCAATTTACATTCCCACCAGCAGTGCACAAGGGTTCCCTTTTCTCTGTACATCCTCTCCAGCACTTGTTATCTCTTGTCTTCTTGATAATAGCCATTCTAACAGAGGTGAAGTTTTATGATATTTTGATTTACATTTCCTTGCCGATGAGTGATGTTGAGCTCCTTTTCAAGTACCTGTTGGCCATTTGCATGTCTTCTTTGGAAAAATGTCTATTCTAGTCCATTGCCCATTTTTAAAAATCAGATTAGGTTGTTTTGCTCTTCAGTTGTAGGAGTTCCTTATGTATTTTAGATATTAAACCTGAATCATATATGATTTGCAAATATTTTCTTCCATTCTGTAGGTTGCCTTTTTGATTTTGTTGATCATTTCTTCTGTTTTACAGAAGCTTTTTAATTTGATGTAGTTCCACTTGTTTATTTTTGTTTTTGTTGCTTGCACTTTTGGTGTCATATCCAAAAAACTGTTGCCAAGACCTATGCGAAGGACCTTTTCCCTATGTTTTCTTCTAGGAGTTTTATAGTTTTGGGTCTTACATTTAAGTCTTTAATCCATTTTGACTTAATTTTTGTGAGTGATATAATATAGGGGTCCAATTTCATTTTTTGTATGTGAATATCCAGTTTTCCCAGCACCATTTAGTGAAGAGACTGTCCTTTCCATATTGGGTAATCTTGGCTCCCTTGTCAAATATTAGTTGACCATATATACATAGCTATATTTCTGGATTCCTATTTTGTTTTCATTTGTCTGTTTGTTTTAGCGTTGTTAATGTTTTTTTTTGTTGTTGTTTTTTTTAAGATTTTATTTATTTCTTTGACAGAGAGAGACACAGCGAGAGAGGGAACACAAGCAGGGGGAGTGGGAGAGGGAGAAGCAGGCTTCCCGCCAAGCGGGGAGCCCGATGCGGGGCTCGATCGCAGGACCCTGGGATCATGACCTGAGCTGAAGGCAGAGGCTTAATGACTGAGCCACCCAGGCGCCCCTAGTGTTGTTAATGTTTTAATGTTGTTTTAATATTAGTGTTAATACCATACTGTTTTTATTACTATATCTTTGTATTATAGTTTGAAATCAGGAAGTATGATGCTTCCCACTTTGTTCTTTTTTTCCTCAGGATTGCTTTGGCTATTTGGTTCTGTAGAAGTTTAGGATTGTTTTTTCTATTTCTGTAAAAAGTGCATTGGAATTTTGGTAGGGATTGCATTGAATCTAAAGATTGCTTTGGGTATTACAGACATTTTCATTTTCACCGTATTAATTCTTCTGATCCATGAACATGGGATGTCTTCCCATTTATTTGTATCTTCAACTTCTTTGATCAATGTTGAGAAGTTCTTGAAACTAATATAACAATATACTTTCTAAGGCTCCATTCCTAGAAAGTGATTCAGTCTTGAGAGAGGCCCAAGAACCTGAGTTTGCAAGTGCTTCTGATGCAGGTAGTCCTGACCACACTTGGAGAAATACTGCTGTGAGGCTTGAAATACTGCTCTTGGCTTTCTTTGACAAAGGACTAGCCAGCACTGTTTGTGAACTGACCATTCTGATGGAGGCATTGTGGTGCAGGGCTGGGGGAACAGGCTCTGGAGTAACATCGTGGCTTGAATGTCATTATTGACACTTGTGGATTGTTGAACAAGCTACTTAACCTTTTGAATCTCAGTTTCATCATGTCTAAAATTGGCAGAAGTGGTTAACTACCTTGTTGTTTTGCTCTGAAGATTTCATGAACTGAAAGAGAAGGCTGAAGCACAGAGCACAGAGCACCCAGCACGTGATGAATACTCAGTCAGTCTTTCCCCTTCATCCTCCTCTTTTCCTCCTAAATTATTTGGCCAGACCTAACAGCCCCAGATTCTGGTTTTAATGGTATTGATGTTTGGACTACTTCGGTTATTTTGTTGTTGTTGTTCGATAGGAGCATCAAACTTACTCTCTAAGCCATTTGATTTCTTGCAAATACAAATCTCTCTTCCTTTTTTCCTTGCTTTAGAGATTGGTAGGCCTCATTCTACCTTCCAAGCCAATGGCCTGCTTGGAAGAAAGGCAGAAAGGAAGAGGGATTTTTACGTTCAGTTGTCAGTGCATTTGTATATATGATTGTTCCTAACTCAGAGATTTAAAATGAGCAGGAGGAAGGATCATCCCAATAATCTTATCAAGATTCATTGGGCATTTTCACTGGGGATTAGCTTTAGGATTGCATTTCCCTTTTATCTTATTGTCCTTTTTAATTGTTCTCAGCAGCAATGTGAGATTCTCAGACACAAATTATTATCATTATTTTAAGTTTATAACATTCTCTTGCTTTTTGGGAACTAAAATGATGCTATCTCTATATACAATGGTGACAGATAAATGACCATGCTGAGAACCTCATTGCTTGTCCTGGGGAATAGAGGCCAATATTAGGCAGACATAAGATCCTTGAGGCTCAGAAGATTTCTCCAAGGTACTTTTAATGTTTTGAGTCCCTTAGGAATAAGCTCTGTAATTTCTAGGGACTTTTCCTCCTCTTCATGCTTCCTCTGCTCTTTGGTAAGAGATGTATAAACTTCCTTGATCATAGCATCTCAGACATTTAGTACCGACTAAAATTTCTTATTGGTACTCTTAGTGTCCAGGGCTTCCTTTTTTGCAGATGACGGAGGTTTGTAAAATAACTATGGCCTTTGGAATTTACTGTTCATAATCTTAAGTAGTTATGAAGGCATAGTGAAAAGGTCAAGCCAGTTCCCATTTTGCATTAGGCAGCTTTATGACGAAGTCCTGTAACTATCAGATAATGATAGCCAGCAGTATCCATTAAAACAGTCTCTTCTGTTTTTATTTTTTGTAAAACATAAAGTCCAGTTAAGGTAGCATAGCTTGTCTGTTATTAAAGAGGCTCCCAGAAAAAGGGATGATGAGACAGAATGCTGCCATTAACAGTGTGCTCCTGTTTTTCATTTTCAGTAATTCATGTCCCTTTGCTCAGTAGTGACACAGGATTGAACTTTTAAGGATTCCCTTTGTATGCCAGCGTTGGAGAGGGATTAAAGCAATGAGTCTGCCAGTATTTTAATCACTTCTTAACTTTGGTCAGAGCTTCTCCACTTTTAATAACTTTGGGTTTAGATCCTTCTGATTTTTCCATATGTCACTAAGCCAGATCATTATAAGCATTTGTTTGGCCTGCATGTCCTTAAAAGTTAGGTTAGCTCAAGTCAACAATATCAAGTAAAAAGTAGCTTTAAGTACCTGCCTATATGTCTGGATAAAAAAAATACGGTTCTTCCCCTTCAAGGTCTTACATTCAAAGATTGATAAGGCTGATATTGATAGATGCAAAAACATAAAGCACTTTTATGGTGTATTTTATGGCATGTGAATTATATTTCAGTTTTTAAAAGTGCATAGACTTTGAAGCAAAAAAATGCATAAATAAATCCTAGGGGTAAATAAAATTCTGGAATAGTTATAGAAAGTTAATAGTGGGAGAATTTGGTCAAAGCATTATTAAAGGGAAATTTCTTTCTAGTTGCAAATTTATTGAAGAAGATGAATTATGAGACCCATTTGTTTTGTTTTGTTTTTAATTTTATTTATTTGAGAGAGAGAGCATGAGCGGGGGAGGGCCAGAGGGAGAAGCAGACTCCTTACTGAGTGGGGAGTCCAATGTGGGGCTTGATCCCGGGACTCTGGGATCATGACCTGAGCCGAAGGCAGACGCCTAACTGACTGAGCCACCCAGGCGCCCCTATGAGGCCCATTTGAAGGGAGAACAGGGAGGTTTTGGAAAGAATACAGTCTGGACTTAAAGTATAACTGGCAAGTGGTAGAGTAGATAAGAATGAATGACTTTCATGACTTTGCCTTGTTTCGTCAACAAGGCAAAGAAAAATAATCTGCAACATACATTTTTCTTGGGGGTTGTGCTCCTTTATAAAGGCTTGGTTGCTGTTTTAGCTCCACATTGCTTAAAGCTCCCTGACCAGGTCATTGTTCGCCCCCGCAAGGCTGGACTTTAAACCCACTCTGGCTCTCCAAGGCATAGGTGAAGCACTGGTGTGGCTTTGTGCCTTTCAGAGAAGGTTTGCGCTTTTTGGGTTGTTTCTTGTTCCTTAGAAAACTTTCCTCGGTGAATTGAGGACGGGAGGTGGCCTGTCAGCACTGACCCCACGTGGTCGCAGCATTTCAGCTGTATGAAGCTTGAATGGCAGAGTTCATGGGGAAACTCAAGTCTGAGACCCCTTCTAATTGCCCTGGGCTGATGGTGCCTGACCTGAAGCTAGATCTCATTTTGTTTGTTTTCACTAAAAGCCAGTGTTTGAAGAGGGACCAATTTTAAGTAATTGAATGCTTTCAGTTTATTAAGAACGGTGCCCAGTCACTGTTAGAAATAATCGACTGACAGCCCATTCTGTCCCATTATGAAAATCAGTACTTCAGTCCTTTGGGAGAGGTAGAAGCCTGTAGACCCTGTGAAATATTTAATTACCACATCTATTATAGACTGTAAGTTTTACATCGCGAAACACCTGACACAGGCATAATTTCCCCCCTATTTTTTGTTTTTTTAAATTGCAAAGGAACCTCAAACCGGTTACGCAGCTATATGTCAGTGTGGATGCCAGCACCAAAGATAGCCTGAAGCAAATCGACCGCCCACTCTTCAAGGATTTCTGGCAGAGATTCCTCGACAGCTTAAAAGCCTTGGCAGCAAAGGTAAGAATTATGACATCTTTAAAAGAGAGAGAGAGAGAGAGAGAGAGAGAAAAAGTGGAGAGAGGTTTTTTTCCTTTTCTTTTTAAAATAATAATAAAAAAAAGAAAACCTTCAACCTTTTTTTAGACTTCCACTTTCATTATTTAATAAATATTTACTGAGCTCTTCTGAAGTTTGTAGCACTCTGCCTTATATGTATAATTTGCCCTTCGTGTATTTAGGGAAAGAGAGACACGCTCCCGAAGTTAATTAATAAAACATGGCAAAGTAGCAGCTCATAGCAGCCCTAGAAGAGGTGCCAGCAAATAGTATATGTTCAAACATGAGGTTGATTTTCTTGAATTTCTTTTTTTTTTTTTTTTAAAAAGTTTTTTTTTATTTATTTGAGAGAGAGAATGAGAGACAGAGAGCACGAGAGGGAAGTGGGTCAGAGGGAGAAGCAGGCTCCCCGCCGAGCAGGGAGCCCGATGTGGGACTCGATCCCAGGATTCTGGGATCATGACCTGAGCCGAAGGCAGACGCTTAACGACTGAGCCACCCAGGCGCCCTCTCCATGTTTATTTATATATATAAGATGTTATGTGTATACACACACACACACACGTATGTGTACGTATATATGTATTTTGCAGTATCTCCAAATAAAAAATTTAAGTCTCAAACATGAGAAACTGTAAAGATCACCATATGAAGAGTATGTTCTGTTTCTCTCTTAAGGATTATCATTATATTCCTTCATGACCTGTTAATGTAAGAAGGAAAAAATCCCTTGTCTTTTGCCTTTAGAACTTAGAAAATACTAGTCAAGCCTCTCATTTCTTTCCTTGAATTTTTCTCAGTTATATGATGGTGTGTTTTGGGATGGGGATAGTTTTGAAAAAAAGATTTCTAAATCAAAGTTTAAAGTTAGTAAAGCGAATAAAGTTAGGAAAGTTTAAAAGACCAAACTATTTTAAACTTAATGAAAATGCTACTACCAATCATTAAGTAAAAGAGTAATAAACCCAATAGAGAAATAAGCCAAAGATACAAACCCTTAATGGAAAATGAAATACAAATGGCCCATAAATATAGATAAAAATGTCAGTGAGGAAACAAGGGCTCTTATACATCTCTGGTGAGAATATAAATTGGTACAACCTCATCTTTGAAGGACATTTTTATGCTATCTATTAAAATAAAAAATGCATGTGCCCTTTGAGTGAGTGGTTCATATCTGGTAATTTACCCTGAGACATAGTTACATCCGCATGAAGTAAAATATATGTAAGATTATTCATTGTGACATTATTTATAATAGCAAAAGATTGGAAGCAAACTAAATATCCATCAGCAGAGAACCAGTTAAATAAAATATTGTACAGCCTTCTGTGTACAGAAAGTGTGACTTCTCTTTGACCCGAGTGTCTGAAGGTGGAGGGAGGTCTCTGGCTGTTTTCCTCTTTGTACCCTTTCAGAGTGTTCTTACTTTTAAAAAGGATAACCATCAGAAGCTGCCCCAAGAAAGTAATTTTTCTAGGGAAAAGAATCATAAATACTGTTTTGTATGCCTTTTCTTTTTAGTGTTAACAGTCATTACTGAAGCTTGACTAAAGCAGAGAAGGTGTTGTAGAAGCTAAAACGCTCCTAGCAGATTGTAAACCAGATAATAGTGGGTTATAGAAATTAGGACATGTTAATTGTCTCACGTACAAATATTTTCATCTTAAGCACTTTTTCAACATTACATATATTTGTTTTTCTTAAATATTCTACCCAACACATAAAATAATTCCCAAGACTTACACTCGTGACTGGTCATCTTAAACATTTTATTTGATTACCATTTGGTACAGTGTTTACTGAGAAACAGACTTTTCTTTCAGATTCCATCTCCAGTTTTTGTTGTTGTTGCTTTTTGGGTTTTTACCCTTTTGAGGCTTTTGGGCAGTGATTGTTTCCGCAGTTAGTGTTTAGTCAGAGTATTTGATGGAACCCCATGGGGGTCTTTCCAGTCTTCAGAAAGTGAGCGTAGGGGAGGTACTTTATCCCACCATGGCACATACCAGCTCTGTTACCTTGGCTGAATGACTGAACCTTGGCTTCCACACCAGTTAAGTGGGGTTAAGAGGAGTTCCTTACGTGCCGGGCTGCATTTAGGGATTAAGTGACATAACACATGTAAAACGCTTAGTACAGTGGTTGGTGTGTGGGCTTCATAACGTTAATGCTATTCTTGATGAAATTAGTTCAGACTTAAATAGTGATCATCTGCCTCCTAGAATAATTTTTGGTTACAAATGATTGTCAGCATTTTAGAGGCTTTGTTTTTACTGTACTCATTTCATCCAACTCTGACTTTGAGTTTATTTTGTTTCCAGTCTTGTGCTAGGCCCGGGGATATAATTGGCTATGGTCGGGTGCCCTAGAGGAATTGCAGTCTTCTGGGGACAAACAGACAATTTCACCAGGAGGTGACGAGTGCTGGGAGGATGCACAGGGACTACAAGAGCATAAGGAGTCCCTGGGATCAGAAGCTTCCTGAAGGAGGTGACAGGAACTGAGCCTGAGACTTAACCATCAGTTGTTACTTAAGGCATAATCTGTAAAGGCCACAGGTTGATACGGAGTTAAAAGTAGGCTTCCCTTCAACCCTGGTCTCCCGGCTGCCCAGTGCTCCTTGAGAGCCCCCACCGATTCCTAAGGTGCATTCCCAGTGGGAAAGAAGAGCAGAGCTCAGAGATACAAAAAGCTTGTGTGGCTTGTTAGCAGGTTCAGTTCTGCAGGTATCCAAAAGCAATGGGGTGGGTGGGGTGAGGAGTGGAATGACAAGAGATAAAAGTAGTATTAGGAGGTTCTTCAGCTGTGGTAAAAAAAAAAAAACACACAAAAAAACACACATACACACAAAAAACCAATGAAAAACAGATCTATGCTAACTCAAAGAATGCAAAATGGTCTTAGAGATCTCACCCTCCACACGTTACAGTGCCTAGCACACCCACAGTTTTAAAAAATTTGTTAAAATCTGTGGTTCTAAAAACACTCCCGGTCATTTGAAGGTGAAAAAGCATTTTTTAATGTATACTCCAATTAGATACTTTTTTGACTTAAAAATTATGTTGAACAAAAACATTCATAATAGTTGTGTAACTGTGGGGTTGTGGGTGATATTTTAACAAGTTTTCCAGTTTTCATTAAAAATAAAATCTATGACAACATTAGAGAAGAACAATTTATATTTTATCTTTAAAAGTTTGCTGTAATTTTATATAGATCATTACTGTGGCAGTGGATAATTTATTCAGTAGAAATTTCTAGAACTTGATGGTCTAAATAACCAAATACACAGAGTAATATCCATTTTGGGCAGAGGATTCTCAGGGCCAAAGCTCTTTTCCATTTGAGAAAGTGTCTTTTACATGAAGCCTGATGTATATTACGGTCAGCCCTGAGTAGATTGTGCCTTGAATGATGGTGAATAGTAGTGACACACTGCAGCTCAAAAAATGATAAATGGTTTTAAAGATCTAGCTGTCCACAAGTTAATAGAATTTTATCTACCCTTTGACCTCCGACTCATATATCATCAGATTATCTGAAGGCTATAGGAGGAGACATCTCTTCCAAATATAGGAACACCCTACAGACCGTCTCCCTTATAGGGTGTGGGTTTTGCACTACAACACCTTTTTGTTTTTAATATCCAGACTTCATAGAGCACAGGAGCCTTTCACTATAATGTTTTTAATTGATATTTACAAGGGCAGAACTTATATATTTTTTTCAAAACATAGTACAGCATTTGAAACAAAATGATAATGCAAGGAATGTCCTGAATGACATTCCAGATACAGTTGGTAGGTCATCAGAGTCAGGTGTAGATGATCCGAAAAGCTCAGTAAGTGGCTGCTGAGGGGGCTTGGCTCCTCCATGCTGCTGACACTGCGGGAGGCCACTTTACTGCAGACGGTTGCTGTTAACCTTGTTTGTTTTCAGTTAAGTCGGGAAGTAGTGCTTAACATATTATAGACTGATACAATAGTTATTATATTTATGGGCATTTTACCTTGTTTTAGTTTCATTTTAAGAAAGTCTTTGGAGGTTTTAAGTTGATGTGTAACATTTTAATTTTTCTTACTGAAAACAATGGGAAATATACTTCGTTTAGCATTTTTTATGTATGATGTTAGGCTCCAGGAACAGATTACTGCTGTTAGCTGGAAGATGCCTGTGTTACTATTGTTTCATGATTTTTAATTAACCAGTGATATGATTAAAAAAAATTTTTTTTAAAGATTTCAGTTATTTATTTGAGAGAGACGGGGAGAGGTAGCAGGAGAGGGAGAGGGACAAGCAGACTCCCCACCGAGAATGGAGCCGCATACAGGGCTCGATTCCAGGACCCTGGAATCATGACCTGAGCTGAAGGCAGACGCTTAACTACTGAGCCACCCAGGTGCCCCATGATATGATGGTTCTTGAAGTGTATTGGGTATGTGTTTCCTATGGCCACTTTTTTTTTTAAAGGTTTTACTTAAATTTTAGTTAACATACAGTGTAATATTAGTTTCAGGTGTACAGTAATTTAGTGATTCAACACTTGCATATGACACCCAGTGCTCATCAGGACAAGTGCCCTCCTTAATCCCCATCACCTATATAACTCATCCCCCCACCCATCTCCCCTCTGGTAACCATTAGTTTGTTCTCTTTAGTTAAGAGTCTGTTACTTGGTTTTCTTCTCTCTTTTTGTCCCTTTGTTCGTTTGTTTCGTTTCTTAAATTCCACATAAAAGTGAGATCATATGTTACTTGTCTTCTCTATTTCACTTAGCATAATACTCTAGCTCCATCCACGTCCTTGTAAATGGCAAGATTTCATTCCTTTTTTTTTTTTTTTTTTTAAAGATTTTATCTATTAGGGATGCCTGGGTGGCTCAGTTAAGCATCTGCCTTCAGCTCAGGTCATGATCCCAGTGTCCTGGGATCAAGTCCCACATCGGGCTCCTTGCTCAGTGG